CCTTTTCTGAGACTGACACTCAACCAAGGACCATCTATGGATATAACATAGAACTTCTGCTCGGATGTGGCCTGTGGTAGCTCAGTAACCAAGTAGTTTTCCAAAGCAAGGGGAACAAGGACTATTTCTAACAGGATCTCAAGGGCAGGCTGTTTGTCCTCCCCTCCCCCCCCAGGGGAGGAGCAGTCCTGTTAGGCCACAGAGGAGGACTTTGCAGCCAGCCTTGAAGATACCTGATAAAACAGGGTCAAATGAAAGGGGAGGAGGTCCTCCCCTATCAGTGGACTTGAAAAGGGGCAGGGAGGAGACCAGGGAGGGAGTTGGGGAGGGGGAGGGAATGAGGGAGCGGGATACAGCTGGGACACAGAGTTAACAAATTGTAACTAAAAAGAAAAATAAAAAAAACCACACATACACAAAATAAATAAATAAATAAAGTACTAGTGAAGAAATCAAGTACTATTTCTGCATGGAGGAATAGAAAGAGCCGAGACTTGGGTACATCACAATGCAAGACAGCCATGGCTTTGCCTGCAATCTTCACTACAGGAACAAGGAAAAGGCACAAGAAACTCAGGTTTCTTGGCAGCAACACTTTGGTCCTACTCTTTGCTCTATCATTAACAGCTTGTTAAAGCCCAGTAAGAGCATCCCAGTCACTTACTGGGACCTCCTCCTTCCTCCAAAATATTGTAGGAGATAAAAAAAAAAAAATAGCCATCAGTCAAAAACTACAACAAACGCATCTTTGAGATTCATACTATCACCTTTACTCAGATCTCCACCCAAACATCACTTTCAGAGTTTTCTGAGTATCAAACTTAAGTTAGCACCTCTCAGCCAAAGCCCTCCTTTATGTCCTGCTTTACCTTTCTACATAGCACATGCTTTGGCTAATCTACTTATTTCTTCAGTAATTATTTCTAAGAAAAACTCAAGAATTCTTTAAGCAATTGAACAATAAACAGTATGCAACACTAATCAACAAACATCTAACAAAACTTGCTTCAGAGCCAGACACACTTGCTGTATAAGCCTCAGAGCCTGAATTTGCTCCCTGGAACAAACAAAGCTAGAAGAGGATTAACTCCCAAAAGTTCCCTCTGGATGTCTCTGTCTATCCATCTCACTCAGTCACACACACATACTACTACTACTGATGATAATTTTTTTTAAAACTTGAAAAAAATGCAGTATATGTGTGTGTGTGTGTGTGAAAGAATATTTGCTAAGCTTGCAGGAATAGAAAATCATACATACTTACAGATAGCAGTATTTCCTACTTTAACAACTTGGTTTTGTTCTCCCACTGATCACTCAAATTCATACTATTTATCTTTTTCTCTTAAAATACTGCCTAATATGCAACTTAAACTAGACTCGCCATTCCTTCCATTCAGAGTTTGGGGCTGTCCATCCCTAAAGTAAATGAGTCCCACCAGAATGAGATCTGTCACTGCGGAGGTGGGAGGGATGGCTGTATCTGCAAGTGTTTGGACATTGTAGGAGTCTACTTTTTCCTCCAGTGGTTTCTTATGCTCCCCTCCTTTTTTTCCCCTTTCTTTCTCCCTCACACTTCTGCCTTCTTTTAGCTAGGCCACAGGTAACACATTTAAAACAAATCTTAGTTAGTCTTTAAAGGGTGACCACACAGAAGACAGTTTTGGAGCAGGAGAATGAAGGTCTCCGGTTGCAGAAGGCTCAGGGCAGCTGCCACCAGAAATGCTATCAGCTCCGTTTCAGCCAGTGTTGGACTCCAGCTCTTTCCTTTGTCTTCTAAATGTTAACTACAGACCCCACCTGTTCGTTTCAGAAATTAGTCTTATAGTCACTGAAGTATAGAAGAAGCCTAAGCTTTAAAGATCTCCCCCATCAAAACCTTCAGTTTATAAATGAGAAAATAGGGGCTAAGAGGGTTTAAGTGATTTGTCAGGGGTCCCAAAAGTTATGAGTTGACAGGATATAGTCAGATACCGAGATCACAGCCCAAACTTCTGAAGACTAATAGAAAAGTCCAAGAAATCTTGCAGGTTTCATCAACAAGAGAACAAAGGCAATTGATTAAAAGCAAAAGTTTGGAAATGAAGAATAAGTATTTTAGAACAAATACATCTACTAAAGTTTCTATATATTGGCTCCTTTTTCTCCTCACAGATCAGCAAGTGATAGGGAAAGAAATAAATAGACTAGCTCATTACACCTAAATGTTTTCGTTGTTATTTTTACTTTTATAGTTGTTCATTTTCTCCTGTTTAATAGCTTGCAGTGTAACATCTTACACACACAGCAGCTATTCCATGACGCTGACCTCTAACTCCAGCCTCTCTGTAATCGAAAGCAGCTGATTTTAATGTGCTCGTGCTTCAGTGTGAAGGAGGCTCAGGCTGCATTTGAGTGCAATCAGGTTAAGATTGGCTCCAACAGGAGAAAAACCCATACATATGTTGAAAAGATCTGAAAAATGCCTGTATTCCCAACCTGATTACGACTTACATTTTTGCATGGTTTGTCAAAGCAGATCACTGAAATCAAATCAAGATGGAAGAGGGGATAAAGTGGTTTACTTCTCCATTCTTGCAGTAATGAGCGTGACCAGCTGAAGAGAGAGACTTTTCCCTCCCTCACCTGAGGCAAGGTGGACTCTCCACTGGAGGTTATGCCAATTTTTAGAAACTGCAGCTCAAGTTCCAAAATTAATTTCTTAGTTCTTATATCCTCCATTTGTAAATAAAGTCATTTTATTACAGAGCCATTAATTTTTACTAATTATTTTATTTGCCTCTAAATCAAACAATAAAACAAGTTCCAGCATATCTTTGAAACTCTGTTATAGATAAGCACAAGAGTATTTGCTATTTCACGTTTAGGCTAAAAAAAAAAAATTTAGTAAACTGAAAATTAGACAGCTACAGGGACTAGAGCAATGTTTAATGGAAAAAATATAGTTAAACCTAAATACTAGAATCTAACTCTGAGTCATTTATAGAGGGGCAGGACTAGCAATCAGGCTTTAGCTATTTTTTGTGGCATAATTTACATTATCAGTAGAGTCAATCATATTTCATTAAGATGGCAACTGTTGGAAGCACTAATACAAATGTAATACACTTTATGGTTAACAGCCTATCAGTTCTCTAGAAAATTCTCAGTCATGACTGAGGCCAAGACAAAATAAAACCCTGCAAGGGGTAGAGGAGTGTTTGGGCTCTTGTTACACATAAGCATGTTTGTTACGAGAATATTTTCAGTTTAATTCTTGCTATTAATGTAAGCCACAATTGCAGGCCCATGACGCTTGAAAAGAAGTGGGGGAGGGGCCAGTTATATAAACAATATACCACAAAGAAAGTCTTTCTTTCAATACCTGAATACATAGGGTTTGCTTTTAGGCAAAAGGTTGCAGGTTAAATGCTCTCAGCTATCCAAGATTGGCTTATTAGTTTTGTAAGAAAATATTTTCTTATATTTTGACTTAAAAATAGCCACTTTAAGTGAACAAAACCATCCTTGTTAGTGAAAAGCAGACCAAAAGAAGAAGAAAAAAAAACTTTGTTTCAAAGGCCCAGTAAGGAAAAGCAAGACTAATTCAAGAGGAAAAGCTGCCTCCTCCAAGGAGCTTCTGAATCTGGATCTAATAGTCCTCAGAGGCCGGCTGGAGTCTTCCAGTCTTCAGAGTTTCATCTTTCTCCATGGATCCTAGGCCCGCTCTCAGAGGCAGCAGAATGCAGACATAAACCCATGTTAAGCAGCTATGTATTCTCTTTCTGGGCTGGAGTTAAAAAGTTGAAAAGTTACGTCCCCAACAGCAGATTAGGAGGAAGAAGTATTTTAAAGGTTCTCTTCCAAATACAACTTTCTTTTTGCTTTGCTTTTTTATTTGTGCACTTAAAAAAAAAAAATCTTGGTTTCGTCTTTGGCAACACAGCTTTCGCCAGTGATTCAGTAAGTGTCAACACATGATTACTGCTTTAAAGAGCACAATAACATTATGGAGATCCCATACGGATAAGCTGGTAAGATGGCTCATGTACTTGCTGCACTTTTAAGAAGACCTAAGTTCATGCATCATACATCAGTATAGAAGTCAGATATTCCAGTAACTCCAGCCCGGGGGAGGGTGTACAGAAACAGAGGGTTGTAGGGCTTTGCTGACCAAGCAGTCAAAATAGTGAGTTCCATGTAAGTAAGAGACCATGATTTAAAAGGTTGGAAACAATAAAGGGAAAAGCCTAATGTTGGTGTCTGGCCACCACATGCACACACATGCTCCTACATACATGTATACACAACACACAAACACATACACACAAGAATTGTATTTTGATGTGCTACTTCTGTGTTCTCCAACACCTTGCTAAGTACTCATCTCCTAATTTCCAAATGAACCTAATCTGGCTATTATAGAATAACGACAGCAAATGAGTACAATTATTACAAAGAGTTAACACACATACCAGTAGCTGTTTTCTACAAATTATTATCAAAACAAAAAGAAGGGGCTAATTGTGGTAACATTAAGACAGGGATTTTTCCTCCCAGTATTTGGGTGAGTTTATTTTAAGTTGTCATCTTCAACTAGTAACAATGCAGACAACTTTACAGATTCCATAAACCTTTCTAATATAAACTCTTCTCAACTGAAAGTTGGCTCCTTCCTTCTGAATAACATCTGTCTGCAAAGGCCTGCTTTCACAAGAACCTTCTTTTATGGAACATTTGAAAAGAGACAAACACTCAAAACAACCCACACTCTTAGAAATCTCATTTTAGAAAGCACATTGATATTCCTTCAAGTTATTTAAAAAAATATTCTGAGAGAAAATGAAACATTTACTGTGTATGCATCACAGCTGAAGCATTTGTTTCTGAAAAAGTAGAATTTTATCTCCTTTCAAATGTTAGTGTCAGGTTTCCATCATGAATAAATAGTATTTATTGGGAAGAAGAGAGGAGGGGGAACATCCAGAAAGCACATAGCATATGAGCGTGACTAGACTCACCTCCTGGACAGTGCCTCATAGCCATCTTGCATCTCCTGGACTCTGCAATGGTTGGACATGGGATTGTGTCTTTTGCTGGCTTTTTAATAATCTGTCGTGTTCTGGTTTCCAGACCCCATTTAAATCCACATGTGCGGTTGTTTCTGCTACATGTTCCCCATTCACTCCAATGACCAACTTCACATCCTTCTGATAAAGATTTAAAAAATACAAACAGACATCAGTTGGGTGTCCACTTTTCATTTCATATAAAACTTATACAAATATGCTTATTCATTACCCACAAATAACAAAAAGCAGGTTAAGTAGCCTACAAGATCTGTACTCATCTTTCTGGAACTGCAGTTGTTTAAATCATAGGACACTGACAGCTAAGACAAACAAATGCCTTGTAAGTAATTAAGGAGCTGTTGCTTTCCATTTGTCATGTTTTTGAAGGGATACTGCTGGTCAGGCCTAAATGCAACACTGTGTCGTCTCTAGAAGATGATCTCTAAACAGGCAAAACCTACAACAGAGGAGGCCCTTTGCATGCCACGATGGAAGCGAGCTTCTGACAGGCTAATTTCATATGCCTACTCCAAATCCATAACTGCGTTTGTTTTATTTTACAAGCACTGGGAGGCGGGCAAGGAGTTGTGTGTGTGTGTGTGTGTGTGTGTGTGTACGCCTGCATATATACATGTGTATTTCTGATTTGCATATTCTATATGGTCTTTCAATAAGTATGCTTATGTATCTGTGCTGTTTAATACAAGCTGAAAGTAACAGACATCTGCTGCAAAGAAGGTACCTGTTATTTCTAGACATGGACAGCATTTAGTATCCCTTTTTGTTAGATTATTGAGCATTGGTAGAGATTGGAAGAAGACAGTAAGGCCATGCAGAGCTGACCCTCCTCGCTGACTTAGTCTCATGTCCACACTTGGCCCACAGCGTTTTCCATCTCAGTAGGCATAAGAGCCAATTCTATAATTTTTTCAAGCCCATTTAAATTGTAATAAAGGGCAAAGAACAGAATTCTGTCATGGAATACTCTGTACAGTTCCATTTATAATGTATAGAGGGTGTGATTCTTCCTTATCAAAAGCTAAAGCAGCACTCAGAATATATGCCTTCAGTGGTTTTCACAGTTTTAATTGCATTAATAAAAAATTTAATTAATTAATTAATCTGCATGTACTAACTCACACATAAATATAAGTAAAACAATTTCTTTCCAAGCATCACTTTTAAGTGAATTCTCCTCCACAAAAATTTATAAACAAAATTGTCAAGTTCTACTTTAGAATCTTTCCTTTTAGGGGAATGGGTTGTATAATTGATGATTCATAGCTCTATTGTATACAAAATGAGATGTATAGTGAATCTAGTAAAATTTGAGGGACATAGGTGTGAAATTACAGTTACAAATAAATCGATGTATTGTCAAATTCAGCCAATTTATCTGTTAATCAGTGGCTCACAGTATTTTATAAACATCAAAGCACATAAAGTTCATATGAAGTTTCTATAGTGTGTGATTAGATTTTTCACACTATGTATGTTTAAATGCATCCTATAGATTTAAAATTCAGATAACAGCTAATCTACAGCTAATCTATTTTAATAATTTTTTTATTTTCTTGAAACAGGGTTTTTTTGTGTGTAGGCTGTCCTAGACTCACTTTGTAGACCAGGCTGGCCTCAAACTCACAGAGATCCACCTGCCTCTGCCTCCCCAAGTGCTGGGATTGCAGGTGTGCACCTCCATGCCTGGTTTGTTTTATAAAACTTATAACATGCAGTCAATCACCAAAAAAAATATTTGGGCACAAAATATTCTTTTAACTTATTTTCTTTTTACACAGATAGCTTAGCAAGAATCTCCAAAGTTCATTTATTCACACAGCTAAGGCGATAGGACGGCTCACATGATACTGTGTGGAAGTCTTGTTTTCCTACTAAGTAAAATGCTGTTCTTGAACTGTGCTAGTAATTTATTAAGATAATAAGAAATGGATCTAGTACCAATGATAAACTTTATCAGCCCATAAGTAGCCTAACTTGGCAAATACATAACTAGCAAAATTTGAAACAAAGCTACCCATCATCAGGATGCCTAAAATACTTAGAATACCAAACAAACAAACAACAAACAAACAAATCCATTCAGTTCTGATGAACAACAGGACCCACTTACTTTTTAGGTTGGCTACATCTAAGATGAACATCTGCACAAACAGGCATGAAAATTTGGAATTTGAGAGTTGAATTAAGAACTACTCACCTACACATTCCATGCTCTCATCTAATGGTGCAAAACCATCTGGACATTCATCAAAGCAGCGGCCTCTATGCAAATAAAAGCCTACTTTGCACTTGGTACAAAAGTCTTTGCTAAAGCAAGAATCACAGTTTTCTATTCTGCATCCTACAAACAATTTTAAAGAGAAAAAATAGTTAAAGGATGTTTGTATATTTTACAGATCACGATTACATAAATGAATTGGTTACCTTAAGCAAAATACTATGGACAGAGATACATGCTCATGCCTTTATTTACTTACAGCATTCTAATTCACCCCTAACCCTTCCCACAGCTTGTCACATTAATAAGTTAGAGGGCCAGCAAAGGGCCTGAGGCACAGAAGACTCCAGAAATGTTTAGTTCAAATGAGATTAAAGCAAATGATTATGAAGAATACCTTCCTACTACAAATCACACCACTTCCAAGAGTGAAATCTGTTCTACCCTTTTAAGTCCCACAAAGAGAAACAGAATGGGAACTCCAGTTTGTATCTTCTGTCTTCAGATAGTCAAAGACTTACAATTTCAAATATCAAAGTTTATCTAAATGCCTGGTATGTTACCTAAAGCACTAGTCAGTGCTATCTTCTTTTTTTTATTCAGAGAGAGATGTGACATGAGTAGGAGAAAGGGAGATTGGATCATTTTGTAGAAACCTCACTACACAAAGGCCTTTATATACATTTACTCTTTACAGTCCGGGTACAACTGGCAACATCTAAATGAGGAAGGAGCCTAGGCACTAAGAGACAGTAAGTCACACAAGGAGTAATGGTTGCTTGGGTTCTTTAGGCTTTCCCTAAACCCAATCTCTTTTCTTAATAATTGAAAAACTAGGATGCTAGTAACAGGTTGTGAAACAGTGCTTGAAGCCCCAGCAGAGGAGGTTTGGAATACTGGATTTGTCTCACCAGCTCTACATCTTTGGATTCAGCAATTCACCATTCTAGACCTTGACATCTTCACATATAAAAAGATGCCATGGACCTTTTAAGATTACCATAAACGTTTGCAGTAACATATAAACCTACTGACACAGAACATGAATCACCAGATAGAAACAACAGATAATCAGAAGCATGTACCTTTCCACCAAAAGGCACAATGTTCCAACAAGGTGCTTAAAGAAAGTAATTAACAGATTGAGGTCTGGATCAGATTCTCTGGAAAAGCCAGGGATATCTGGGCCAGATGTTCATGGCAGGAACGGGTTGCAATGAATATGCTTCCTGGAGAGGAGAGCAGGGGAGGCAGCAGGCTGATTAATTGAAAACCAGGGTTTCAACAGACGTAGTCAATTGTTACTTGTAACAGATTTAACTGGTAGTGACCATCAATATCCAAAGTGATAGGCAAATTCAACACCCACCACATCCATCCTTTCCCAGGACTATATTCATTGCCATAAAAACTCTGAAAAGACTTAAGTCACATATTTCTTTTTTTTTAATTTTAATTTAATTTTATTTTTAATTACACTTTTTTCACTTTGTATCCCCCCTCTAGTTCCCTCCCTCCTCCCATCCCAATCCCTCCCTTCCTCCCTCTTCTCCACACATGCCCCTCCCCAAGTCCATTGGTAAGGTAGGGTTTCTTTTTCTTCCTTCTGACCCTAGTCTGTTAGGTCTCATCAGGAGTGGCTGCATTGTCTTTCTCTGTGGCCTGGTAAGGCTGCTCCCCCCTCAGGGGGAGGTGATCAAAGAACAGGCCAATCAGTTCATGTCAGAGACAGTCCCTGTTCCCATTACTAGGAAACCCACTTGGACACTGAACTGCCATGGGCTACATCTGTGCAGGGGTTCTAGGTTATCTCCCTGCATGGTACTTGGTTGGAGTATGAGTCTCTGGAGAGACCCCTGAAGTCACATATTTCTTACAAAATGAGAGATAATTGAAGTAGAAAATATAACTGACATAAAAAGTTACTTTGTACTTAAAATTTGAAACATTGAGAAAATAATTCCAGAAAGTAGCAAAAGGCTAAAAACTTAAGCAAAATAGAGTACATAATGGTAATTTCTAAGCCATAAGCAGAAAAATGTCAACTTGCTACCTTTCTTTCCATTTTGACTCTATACAGGTCTTTTGTGTATGAAACGATAATGAAGGACCAAACTAAACACCAGCAAAGGAGGAACTAGAAGCCAAGTATCTGTGGGCCCACCATTAAAATTACAGCATTGCCTCTTTGCTGGGGGAAGAAAATTGTGGGTGTAGCAGTAAAGCTTGTTATCCCATAAAAGGTTCATTTGTAGTCTTAAATGCTGTAACCTACACTTTAAGAAACAAAAGCTTATAGCTGGTCAGGAGCCTCTCAATCATGGTCAAACTACATGGCCAGTAGGTCCACAAATTGCTGGGTTTCTTGCTATATTTTTTTAATAGACAAGCAGCTTTCTCTGTTCTGGAATTATTTTCCAAGTCAGGATAAGAATTCCAAAGTATAAAACAGAACAGAACAGGGTAATGATATATATATATATATGTCTGTATACATATATGTATACAGACATATATATGTGTGTGTGTGTGTGTGTGTGTGTGTGTGTGTGTGTGTATAGTTTTAAAAGTGAGAACTCCACACTTTGTTAATCAGTCATTATCTACAAGGTCTGATTTTGCTTTTAAATATGCTCTATGCTGTTAAGTCTTTTGGCCAAAAATATACAGCAACAAGCATTTGGAATTACTTTTACAAGTTCTTTTACTTATCTTTATTGTTACTTAAAGCTCCCCTTTCCTCATTTCATTCCTTGCTTCACAGATGCAGAATTTTTCAAATGCCTACCATTCTCTGTACAGTCCCTTAGGACTATTTCAGGCATAAATCCTCCTGGAGAAAAGCTTAATTATGCACTCTCAAATTTGATACATTTGAAACACTGATAGTAGAATACTATAACCATTAAAAAGCACACTGGGAATTATAAGTAGCGATTTAGAGTACATGTTAAAGGCCTATTGTGAAGTGGAAAAAAAGCAGGTGACAAGTTAAATGTAACATGATACAACAAAGACACATACAAAGGTGTGCAATCTGTGTGTGTAGAATGCATAGACTTTAATTTGAAGGAAGGATGGTAGCATTATGAAATGTTAAGAAGTGCTACGTCCTCTTAAATAAAAAAAAACTTTTATAACTGCAATTTACATCTATGATGAAAATAACAAACAATTATTTAAAATATACAGTTTAACAAACTACTTAGGTTTTTTTTAAGCCTCTCTATTAACACTATGAAATAAATCTTTTGATTTCAACAGGAAAAAACATAACATTGTAGATCATGTCTCAAACCTTTCCAGATTTGGGACCACAAAACCAGAGCTTTAATATTACCAAACCTGCTTTAACCTTCAAACTAACTACACCCTTGTTTCATCATTTCTTGCCAGGTCCTTTGTTGTCTAATATTCAGTGAGTAACAATTTATATTCCATGATAAAGAGAGAAAGAGACTTTAAAATATCATCTATGCAAGAAGGTATTCTTTTTAAATTTTTCTTCACAATTTATTTATTATATATACCAATTGAAGCCTCTTCTCCCAACTTCCCCAGGCCCACCTTCCCTCCTTCCTCTCATCCCCTTCCCCTAGTCCACTGAAAGGGGAGTTCTCTACTATTGCCATCTGCCCACAGCTTGTTAAGTCTCATCAGGACTGCCTGGATACCTTTCCTCTGTGGTCTGGCAAGGCTGCAGCATCAGGAGTGAGTGATCAAAGAACATTCAACAGAGTTCATGATAGAGGCAGCCCCTGATCCCCTCACTCAGAGATCTACATGGAGACTGAGCTGCCAATTGGCCACATCTGAGCAGGAGGTCTAGGTCCTCTCCACATGTGGTCCTCCATTGGTGCATCAGTTTCTGCAGGACACCCTGGGCTCAGATCCTTTAGCTTTGTTGGTCTCCTTGTGGGGCTCCTGTCCCCTCCATGTTCCTCTAATCCCACCCCTTTCTTCCTCCATAAGACTCCCTATGCTCTGCCCAAAGTTTGGGTGAAAGTCTCAGCATCTGCTTCAATACCCTGTTGGGTGAATCTTTCCAGAGGATCCTCTATAGGCTGCTATCCTGTTTTCTCTCTTCCACTGCTTCTGGTGTCTATTCTGTTTACTGTTTTGAATGAGATTTAAGCATCCTCCTTAGGGCCCTCCTTAGTGCCTAGCTTCTTTAGGTCTGTAGATGGCTATCCTGTATTATATGGCTAATATCCACTTAGTAGTGAATGTATACCATGTCTGTCTTTCTGTTTCTGGGTTACCTCACTCAAGATGATCTCTTCTAGTTCCATCCATTTGCCTACAAATTTCATGATTTCCTTGTTTTTAATTGCTGAGTACTGTTGTGTAAATGTACCACAATTTCTGTATCTGTTCCTCTGCTGAGGGACATCTAGGTTGTTTCCAGATTCTGGCCATTACAAATAAAGCTGCTATGAACATGGTTGGGCAAATGTCCTTGTTGAATGGTGGGGCATCTTTTGGGTATGCCCAGGAGAGGTATAGCTGGATCTTGAGGTAGTATTATTCCTAATTGTCTGAGAAAGTTCCAGATTGATTTCCAAAGCTGTTGTACAAAAACATTCTTTAAAAGCTATGATTGTGCCTAGGGTTCTGCTGGCCTTCCGTGATTTTATGGACTCACAGTTTACATCATAGACTTATCCCCCAGCTCTGAACCAAAGGTCTTCTAAACTAGCAATGCACAATCCGCTTTTCCCAGAAATTCCACCTTGATGTGCTTCAGCATCTGAAAACCTTCTCAGGAGCCTCAGTTCCTAAGCACCATTTGGCCATGTCTCCCAGAGCCAATGCTTCTGAGTAGAAAAATGATACCTTTGGGGGTCTCACAGTCCTAGACTCAGCTGGAAGCCATTTCTCCAGAACTACATAAGCTTGTTACCCTCATTTTACTAAGTTTCATTAATTCTTTTTTTCACATACAAAAATCATACTAAATAAAATTTTAAAACATTACAAAAAGCTTTAAGGGACACACAGAAAATTTCTTTCTCCCCTAAAAGCAAACCAGGTTTATCCCCTGAAGGGGCCCTGTCTTTACTGTTTCTTGTGTGTATTTCAGGAAATCACTTTGTAACACATAAATTTAATGGGTTAAACAC